TAAGGCTTTATAAACCCTTCCCACACTCTTGTAATGTTCTTAACAATGTTCTAAACGCTCTAAAAGAGCAGAGTGAAAGAGCAAAAACATTTTAAAAAAAGAGAGAGTGGCTAAGCACGGCTGAGCGTGGCTCACTCAGGTGTAAGACAGATGCCCCTGCCTCCTCCTTTCTCTTTCTCTGCTGTGACAGACCGCCTTGGAAAGAGAAAGGAGGGGGCGGGGGAGAGAGGTTTGTCTTATACCTGAGTGAGCCATACTCATTCGTATTCAGCCACTCTTTTTTTTTAACTGATACATTTTGTTTTTCCACCTAAGCATTTTCTTTGATATTCTACATTTGTTCAATGTATCTGTTCATCCCTGCTCCTTGAGCAGTAGTGATGGGGAAAGACAAACCCCACCCGCCCCCTCCTTTCTTTTTCTGAGGATCTCTGTCACAGCAGAGAAAAAGAAAGGAGAGGGTGAGGGTGGGGTCTGTCTTTCACCATCACCAGTCTTGTGTCGTGCACAATCTTATGTGGAAAACCCGCAAAAGAGTGAGTCCGTGAAAGTCAAACTGCGAAGTATTGAGGGACGACTGTATGTAATTAATTTCAGATTACATATACAATACAGGTTTTATTCGTTCAAGGCAGTTAAATTTGTTCATAACTTTATTATTAGTAAGCCTGAGAGTTACCGGATTCAAGCAAACAGTTACCGAAACACATCCTGTCAAAATAAGAGAGTTCCCGGATCCTGTTCTGGCAGGATCCGGTTCAAATGAAGCCCTGGATCAGGGTCTTGGACCACCCCACTGCTCCAGACGAGTCTCACCCCCTCAGTGGAGTAGTTCAGTAACGGTCGTCCTGCAGCCGTGAGCAGAGCTGAGCGTGACGAGGACCAGGACATGATGTCAGCGTGGTGCCAGGCGCTCGCTGGCTCTGAGCGGTCCGACCCGCAGGGACCGGCACCAGAGCAAGCGGCCTCCATGACTGGACTGCAGCGTAGGCTGATCAGAGGTAGGACAGGGTTTTAACTGTCCCTCTGTATTTTATTTAGAAAATCAGCTTTGGTCTGGAATTTAGAAGCATTTTATTACGCTTGGCATTAATTTATGTATCTGTGTAAAATTAATTATTGGTGAATGATTTTCTTCCAATAAGAACGGTCAGATTTGTTTGAATTATCAGCACAAAGTAAAAGGTGCATGTTGATTTAAAGTATTTTATGTAAATTCTTATTTTGTTTCCTCCTCTAACCTTTAACCTCAGAACATAAATGTCTTTTTTTTTTCTTTTATCTCGCAGGAAACAAATTAAAGGATGTAATTTGTATTCCTAACATTTATTTCCTGTTTTTGGTGAAAAACTTGAACATATCAAGGTTTTGGTGAGGTGCTGATTTCTGGATCAACATAAAAACTGATCTTTTCCTTTCCTGTGTTTTCTAAAACTTTATTTTCCTTCTTAACTCCCAGTTAAAGTCAACATTTTGTGACATGTAAAGGCTGCTTTTCTAAATGGTGTTAATGGTGTTTAGGCCAAAATTAAAGATAAAATATGGCTCATTTTCAATGGCATGGCTTGAAATTTACAGATTAGTACAAGAGGGTGCATCAAGTCATAAAAATAGTAGATGTTTCAACCAATTTTCTCTAATTTTACACTTTTAATAATGAAGGGTTTTTTTTACAGGAAGATAATGTTTTGTTATTCTAGCAATAAGTCCACATGCTGACAAACAATGACATGAAAATTAGGTCTGATTCTGTCATAGCTTTTCTGCTAAATGACCATTTTCATAAAATCTTTAACATCTAACAGACCATTTTTACAGGTGTCCCTCAGGGCTGAGTACTTGGTACCTGCTTTTAAAATTACATGAAAGATGTAAAGTGTTGCAGCTGTTCTGATGCAACAACAGGATGAGTCAGGTTGAGTTTCATCAATTCAATTCAATTCAGTTTATTTTTTATAGCTCCAAGACCCAACAGAAGCTGTCTCAGGGCACTGTACAAAAACATTCACATACATTATAAAAGCCAATTAGTAAAAGTTCTCTATCTATAGAAGCAGCAGATTGTGTTGAATCTTCACATCGTCACAGTCTCCCATCCTGAGCAAGCACAAAGGAGACAGTGGAAAGGAAAAACTCAATTTTAACAGGAAGAAACCTCCAGAAGAACCAGGCTCAGGATGAACGGCCATCTGCTTTGACTGGTTGGGTTTGAGAGGACAGGAAGTAGAAACAGACAATCACTGAATGGCAGGTCCAGGTTTCTATTGGAAGAAAGACCAAAAAAAAAACATATTAAGATATAAATAATTACAAATACAAACAGGTGGAGTAGAGCAAGTAAAGACAGCAGAGTGAGAAAATGTGGTCAGTTTGTCCTCCAGCAGTCTATAGCATCAGAACTAAGGGGTAGCTCAGGAAACCAGATCCAACCCTAACTATAGGATTTATCAAAAAGGAAAGTCTTAAGCTTAATCTTAAAAGTGGACAATGTGTCAGCCTCACGGACAGAAACTGGAAGTTGGTTCCATAAGAGAGGAGCCTGAGAACTGATAACATTAGGAAACTCTAGACACCACAAGTAAACCTGCAGTCTGAGAGCGACGTCCTCTGTTAGAGGAAATATGGAACAGTAAGATCTGGAATATAAGATGGAGCTAAGTTGCTGAGAGCTTTGTAGGTTAGAAGTAAGATTTTGAATTCAACAACATAATCACATTTAGTTCATGTACAACAATCTGCTACAATTAGAAACTCAAACCAGCTCATTTACTAAACATTAACCAAGGGAAGGCTGGAGTAATAGAAACAGCAAGATTTTCAGATTTATCCCTAAACTTCTCCTATAAACAAACATTTTGCAGAAGTGCTGTTAGCAATGCTATTTGTGTCATGGTCATAGGCCAAATTCTGAAACAGCAAGTTAAGAACGATCAAGTAATATCAAGGGAATAACTTGATTTTTGAAGTGAGTGCACATCAGAACTTCCTGGTTTACAAATGAAGACTAATGGCTAAAAATATTACAGACAATCGTGAAAAATATCATAAAATAGTAAAGAACACACGAGTCTTCATCGTCAGTGTGTGAAGGATGGTGGTACCCAGCAGGGACGCGTCGCCACGGCAACGGCAGAAATGTTGGTGACTCTTTCTCCAGCTGATCCTGTGTCAGTTTATAATCTGTATGAAAGTGGACCTTGTGTCTTTGTCCTGTGTGTCCCCGTCCAGGTGCCGTCTCTCTGACCGGACTCTACCTGGTGTACGGTTACGGTGCCGCGCTCCTCTGCAATCTGATTGGCTTCGTCTATCCAGCTTATTATTCGTAAGTTGTTGTTTTTTTTTTCTGATTTCCTCGGGTGTGAGCCCCTAACACCCCAAAGGTGTAGGCAGGCTGTAATTCCACTCAAACTGTTTAATAATGAACAAAAACTGGGACAGTGTACTGATGGTGACACAAAGTGTTCAGAAGAGAAGCTGAGGAGAAAGAACGAGACCAGCAGTCTCAAAAAAAGTTAAAAACACGACTGGAAAACTAAGAAAAATCAACACAAATAACAAAATAACACAAAACCCAGGAACCGTGACAGCATAAATGTATCATAAACCAACGTATGGGTTTTAACTAAACTCTCAGGCAGTAATCACTGAGCAAACAACTCAAAATGAGTAACTAATCCATTTCAAGATGGTCGCCACAGCTAACGTTAGCAAAAATGACATGACCTAAAACCACATTTAGGATATTTACTCGTCTCAGAAGTGTTTGTCTGTTTTCTGACAGATTTCTCATTTCTAGCTTTTTAATAACCAAAATATTTGTGGGAATCATCCTTTATTCCTTTTTATGAACAGGTGACGTCAGAGAAGAGAGCAGGTAGATGATTTAATTTCCTCTAAAGGCACAATCTTCTTTTTGTCTGCAGGGTAAACGTCCGTTGGAACGATAAACTGTTATGTAGACAATAACAGAAGCAGAAAATCAAAGTATTTGATCAAAACCTCCTCGTGTTTAGAGCAGTCCTGGTAGAACGGCTGTCTGAGGCTTCAAGTGAATCTGATTTCCTGCAGAATCAAAGCCATCGAAAGTCCGTGCAAAGAAGACGACACAAAATGGCTGACATACTGGGTGGTGTACGGCGTCTTCAGCCTGGGCGAGTTCTTCTCTGACATTTTCCTCTACTGGTTCCCATTTTACTATGCCTTCAAGGTGAGAACACATCTCTGCTACAAAACCAATAAAGGAAATTTGGGTGACATAAAAGTAACGCTTCAAACCACAGATTTTCTAAATGTAACCTCTGCTGCTGTTCATTTGTTTCAAACTGTACCATCCTCCATCTACTAAGATCAAATAAGATAAGATAAGATAAGATAAGATAAGATAAGATAAGATAAGATAAGATAAGATAGAACTTTATTGACCCTGCAGGAAATTGTTGTACTAAACCTCTAAATCTCCAAAAACACCCAAATTTACACATCAGGGTCAATGTACACACCATCCAAACTGCAACAGACACTAATAAAGAACTATTTCTGGCCAACGTTTCCAATATTCTGCTTTATTATATTATTATTATTGTTATTATTGTTGTTGTTCTGTGCGCTCCTAGTGTCTATTCCTGTTGTGGTGCATGGCCCCTGTCTCGTGGAACGGCTCCCAGATCCTTTACAACAAAGTAGTTCGGCCTGTTTTCCTCCGCCATGAGGCTACGGTGGACAACATGGTCAGCGACATCAGCGGGAAGGCCATGAGCGCCGCCGAGAACTTCACCAGAGAAGGTTCAACCAGTGGTAAAGAAAACAACATCTCCTTTTTCTTCGGTTGTTAGAGATTAATACTCTTTGTCTTTCTGCTCCTGGTTTCTCAGTCCTGTCCACTCTGGTGAAGAACAAAGCTCTGGTGAAACCAGCTCCGCCGATCTCTCAGTCTGAAACTAAGAGTTTGCCAAGTTCATCTGGAAAAACATCGGCAGCTACAGCTGCTCCATCGCAGCTGAGCGAAAAAGGAAAAACAGTGAGTAAAACACATTAATATATAGATATTAAGTCCTTGTTTTAACTGATGACATTTCTAACAACTCTTTTACAAAATGTTCATTTTTAAAAGATTTTTAAAAAATTAATAAACTACTAATCCTGCTGTTTTTGCTGTTCCAGCCTTTCCTTGGTTAATGTTCGGTAAGTCAGCTGGTTTGGTTTGTAACGTAGCAAATTATTGAACATACAGTACATTAAACGTGATGTAATAAAACTCTACCTGACTAATTCCCATTTGAATAATCAGCTGCAACATGGTAATGTAGCCTACAACTCATCAGATTTAACAGTAAAGTTTAAAAGTAGGGGACTGAGTGCTCAGCCATGAGGGACGCCTTGATTTTGAAGGTTGAATTTGGCCTAATTTTGAATTGATTTTGTGTCTGCAGGCAGGTTATAAAAGACAAAAAAAAAAGGCTCTCTTCTTATAATATAATTTATTGCTAAAAAGTGTAAAATTACGGTAAACATATTTGTTCAAGAAAGTACGTTATACAACAAAATACTGTGTTTTATTACAATGATTGATACTTTGAATTATTTAGCAACTTTTTCCAGTACAACTGTTTGTTTTACTGATGAAACAAACAAAAAATAATAAAAATAAAAACAATAAAATAACTCACAGTCTGGTTTGTTTGTGTTTTTCAGTCTGTCCGGTAGCAGCGGAGGAAGAGGAGGAGAGGATTCTTCTCTTCAGAAAGTGCTTCTTACGTCTAAGAGACTGAGTTTATTTCTTCGTTTTCTCGCAGCATCTCTGATCCCTGTCTCTTTATTTTTATTTATGGTTTGAAAATCACTTGTTTGTTTGTTTTTAAATATGAAACTTTAGCAGCAGAAGGACTGTTTTTCACTTTGACAGCCAATAACTGACGTGGCAGCTGGAAGTTTTCAGGACTTCTGGACGTGATGTTAAGTTTTATACAAAGTCCCAGTTAAAGAGCATGTCGGTTAACCAGATTAAAGAGAACCAAGTCCCTCAAAACCTTTAGTTTGTGTTTATTTTTGTTATATTTTTCTGATTTGCTGCCCTGAGATGTTCTTTGTGAGTTCAGAAATGACTGGTGATTTATACATAATTTATAACCCGGGTGTACCAGAACTGTGGCGTTAGAGAAGGAAGACTTAATTAAAAATGGAAGCTTAAACTGTTTGTCTTTTCCTAAACTGCACCAAGTATTTCTCGTGTCTAAACATACAAAAACTGACATTCAGCCCAAATCTGTAAAATTGACAAAGTATTTTTGTGCTGGCTAAAGTTGATAAGTCATGGCAACCATTAAATGATATTCTTCAAATAGACAGAGAGAAAAATGAACATAAAACTGTCACAAAGAAACAAACTTTAATTTAAAATATACATATATTAATACACTGTATTATTTTATATTATTGTTTAGCATATATCTTAGATCCGTGTATACGTTTTTCTTTTTTATACTTTTTATATTTTTGTTATTTTTTTGGGTGTAACTAGATCCTTGATTACACAATTTTGTTCCAACTGATGTACCACATGTGATGCGAATGACAATAAAGAACCTTGAACCTTGAACCCAGATATATATATATATATATATATATATATACTTTGTATATATCAATAAATTATATACACGTATATATTTGGCAATAAATTATATATATATATATATATATATACCTCAGAAAATTAAAATGAAAAAATAAAGGTATTAAATATTCCTTTAACCTAATTTATATATTTGTTACACATAACTAAACAGCAAAATGTTTGTAATAAGGAAAAATATTTTGAAAAATCTGTTTTGTGGTAAAGTAACCTAGGAGCTTGTTAACAACAAAGTCCATGCTCAATAATCCAAGTATATAATCCAACATTTTTCAGTCAGGTCATCTGGAGCTTGCTATTTTTCACAAACTTTGATGTTAAAAGATGTGAGCTAAAATAAAGTAGGTTCACCATAAATTAAAGACGTTTAGAATAATAGGTTCAGTGTTATTTTTATATTTATATGTATGTTTCAGTATGTCGAAGAACTTAATAACTTAAACTTAATAAGGAATTTATCCCCTGTAGTTTATTAATTTCTAATAATTTACAGCTCAAGACCAGAGCTGCTCCCTCCTCGCCAGCAGGTGGCGGTAATGTTCCAAGACAAACAAACGTCACGTGGACGCTGACGTAATGACGCTCAGTTTTTATTTCCGGGTTCGTGTTTATCAACTTGCGTTCATCTTTTCTACAGAATCTGGTCATTTTTCTGTAATTTGGTTCGGTTTAAGTTACAGCTGACGGGTTAAAGAAGACTTAAGAGACATCGGAAAGCTTCACCGAGACGGATAAAAGTTGGTAAGCCCAGATAAAAAGCTGGAAGTCGTTCTTATGACTGTTGCGCCAAATGTCATTCAATATTTGCGAAATTAAGATTTATAACAGTTACCAGCAAATACTGCTTTATTCACTAACTTTGCAAATTACTCACAGCAATAATTATGTAATCTGAAGAACTCGGCTCAATAATTGTTCTTCTGGCTGTGACTGTTTGTTCATTTTACTTTGATTAGCTGGATTGCTCTATTTTTAGATGCCAAATAGAATATTAATGATACATAGATTAAAGGAAGGTCATTTTGTAATAATAGCTGTTTATTTGCTAGTTTTTCATGTGTGGAAGTGAAAATAACAAAATATTTTATCCAGATATATGTGCATTATGCAGAATAAATGAAAAGCAAGAAGGGATCATTGTAACAAGCCTTAAAGTTTTATTTCAGACACCTGGGGGGGCCACAGCCCCTCCGTTTAAACTTTAAACTGTTTCAGATGGAGGACTTGGAGCTGTATTCAGCACAATGAATTTTGGCTCTAAAGGTAAAAAGCGGGTGGTTCTGCCCAGCCGCCCTGACCTCCCCACCTTGGACCAGATCCTGGAGGACCTCAACAAAGCTGCTCCTGATGACCCGGTCTTCAGCATCCTGGAGGAAACTGGACAAGGTCAGTCCACACAGATGCTCATAGTTTATGAAAATACAGACACTTGTGTTGTACCGCACTGCCCTCAAGCATCCAGGACCTTTAAACTTTGGACTTGTCTGTTGACCTTCACGTGTCCTTCTGCTCCTCAGACTCGTCCTGTCCTGCAGACAGCGAGGTGGAGCGCAGCTTCCAGCAGTGTCGTCGGTATCTAGAGCTGCAGGAGCAGCTGAAGGAGGCTCAGGGTCGGCTGCAGCAGCAAAGAGAGGAGCTGCAGACAGTGGGGGAGCAGCTGAACAGAAAGGTGGACGAGGTCAAAGGTCAACTTCTCTGACTCCGGACATTTTGACTGAACTCTTTTTAAATCATGGCAGGCTTGTCCAGGTGCTTTAAAGGTAGATATGACCTTTGACCTCACAGGCAAACTCTGCCTATAAGTCCATGAAAGAGACTCGTAGGGTTTCAAAATAAAAGCTGCAGAAAGTGTTAGTGGTTTGAAAAGAACAGCGTTGAACTAAACAGAAGTTCAAAGATTAGTAAAAGAGAAAAATGTGTCAATAATAAGAAAGTGAAAATTAAAATTTAAAAAAAAAAAAGGCATAAAGTTATTTTATTTGCCACCAGATTGTTTCATTTGTCTTAAAAGTTATTTGTATGTACGGTAAATAACCCGAGTTTGTTTTTTCTTTCCATTTTTCTAAATGAACGGCATTCTTAAAGCAAAACATGGAAAGTGTAGAATAAAAGCAGTGGACATGCAGAAAGATATAAACACAACACTGTGAAGGAAAAATCACTCAAACGTGAATGTTGTGAAGGAAGAGAGCAAATGTTTTATTTTGACAAGATTTAAAGGGACTCCTTTAGAAAACTTGTCTATTTATAAGAATTGAGGCGTAAAAGAGTAAAAGCATGTTCAGTTGAACTTTTATAACTAGTGTCTGTAGCTAAATTACAACTTTTTATAAATGTATTTATGTATGGATTAAGATCAGGTCTTTTTCACTATAGATCCCGGCATTTATAAACTATGACATTATTGTTTAAACAAGTGAAATATTTTGCACCATCTATATTATTTTTAATTATATATAAATTTGTAAAATTAGCTTTTTGGTAACTTTATTAAAAACAAATGTAAACCTTCTTAGTTTAGTTAAGTTTTATGTCTTAGCTGTTGTTCTTTTTGTCATTTTTTTAATCTATTTTTGCACAATCAGTATTTTCATATCCAAATGATATTTTAAAAAGGGGGTGTCCATATTTATGCTAAATGTAGACGTGGAAATCTGACTCTTTCACGTCACAATAAACTTAGTTTTATAAATCTGGTTTGAACATCGATCTGGATTTCTGTCTTTGTGCATTTGGACAGTTTTAACAATAATCCTAATTTTAATTTTATTAGTGCAAAATTAATTTAAATTAAACATGTTTCATCGTGTTTCATAAGAAGAGCCATACTTACTTTACGTGACTGACTTTATGTCTATAGTTTAAGAAAACATGTTCAGTTTTTGTTGCTACCATAACTTAACTTAAACTTTAATTTTCTCAAAGATTGACAGTGCGCCGTATAATCCGGTGCATCCTATGTATTAAATCTGGTTGTGCTTACTGACCTCGGACTGATTGCACGTGGTGCACGGTGCTCAAAAATCTGTCAAAATGAACTTGTTTTGCTTAAAGCACCTTATAATTCGGTGTTTCTTGTGTATGAAAACAGACCCGTTCATTGATATTATGTCAATATTATCGTTTATCGTGATAATTTCTGAGACAATTAATCGCCCAGCAAAATTTATTGTGACAGGCCTAATTGCGTCTTATAATCTGGTGCACCTTATGGTCCGAAAAATACGTTAATAGAGCGAGAATCAAAAGCATTTGCATACAATGTATTAAGTCAACAATCGTTCTACTTTCTATCAGAGCTACTCACAATTTCAACATTTTGAAAATCTGTGGTTTGAAATGTTTTAATGTCTGACGGAGTGAAGGTGGTGCCCTCTGCTGACCTGTTCGTATTTAATCCAGCTTCTGCGAGTTGGTCAACAAAAACTGCGTTTTAGATGGACAAAATAAAAATCATGACTCGCTCATTGTCCAAAAGAACGTCACAGCAGCAGCTTAAGGAATCACGTCACTTTTTATTGGAATGAAAACAACAGTAATGACACACTTGTGACGATTTGCTTGTTTACCACGGCATCGTGACCCCACCGTGACCTCGTTCGCACACGTTGAAACATTTTAAAGTGCCTGCGACGTCAGATTACTGAAATGAATATGAATGCATTTTTAAAAGATAATGCGTTGCCCGAACAAATCACGCTGCTGAGATAAACAGCTGTTGGCATATTCTCATGTGCAGGAACAGGAAGTGATGTCAAAGGGGAATGCCTGCCCGTAAACAGAGCAGCGGCTAACACGGACAGCAGAGAAGAATCTTTATTTTCTGTTTCTTTAGATTATTTTGAATCTCTCGAAGAGAAGACGAGTCAGAGTTCAGGTAATGTTTCAATGAACGAAGATCAGGAAGTTCCCCTTTGATGTCACTTCCTGTTTCACTTTGGCTGCAACAAGTTCAAAAGAAAATGTCAGCTATGTGACAAAATTGTATGATTTAAAAAAAATATTAAGATGTTTTCTTCTACTTTTTGTATTTGTAGGATGTGTTTGTCGCAGCTGCTCTAACACGATTCAACCGAGGCGTGAACGAGGCCGGCGGCGGCGAAAACCTTCATGGCGCCGTTCATTCTGTTACCCGTCATATTTAGTGTTGAGTGTCTGTCAAAGTGATCCTCCACCTTAAACCTGCCTCTTTAATGTCAAACACCGGTGTAGTTTTTAAAATTAAACAATTTGGTCTTGTTTGGAAATGATTTCCACTTCTGTCTTTCTAAGTAAGCAAGACCTGAGCTGTTGCACCAGAAGTGTTCTCGTTAGTGCTTCCAGGGTTTGAGCAGTTTGCTCTCCGAACATTTCCAGCTTTATTTCTTTAAACTTTAACACAAGTTAGATTGACACTGAAAAGGCAGATTCGTGCGGCGCAGCACCTTCAGGGTTCCGGTGGAGCTTGAACCATTCGTTCATGGGCTCGATGGGTTTTCTTCTACATGACTTGGATTGAAAATGGGGCGTTTTTCTGTATGAGCATCCCCTTTACTGTGGGTTCAGATGAGTCCATTCACCTCTGCAGACACATGGGAAGATAGTGGAGCTACAGAGAATATTCATAGTCTTTATATAGTCTTCACCTATCAGTACTTTTTACAGCAACACAGTTGAGCAGATATTAACATGTACAGACCTCCAGAGGAAAGCTCCTTTACAGTAACGGGACAGAATAAAGACGTCAGAGCTGCTGTTCTCGATCCAAAAGGAGATGAGAGGATCTATTTGGTTGTTAGCTCCAGAATCATCAACGTTGTGATGTAAATATTCAGCCAGTGAAGCGGAGAATCCAACAGATGTCTCAACAGCAGGCAAACGTTACGCTCCAGGTCTAATTCGAGGGGGGAGATTTAAAAGTTTCGACTCGATGCGTTGCTTCTTGCGTCTAAAATGACCACGTTGTGACGACTGAGTGTACGTTTTCACAGCAGTGTTTAAGTTTTCTGCATCTCCAACCCCAACTCTTAACTATTTAAACAGCCGTAGAGGTGCCAGTTTATACATCATGGGGTTAGATTTGCAGCTGTTCTGGTCTTCGGGAACAGGTTTTAAAATAACGCTTCACAGTGTGATGAAGTAACATTAGTTGGAGATCACACAGCCCAGCTGGTCAGACACTTGTCATGCTCAGATGTTTCCTTCAGCTACAAATATGGGACCCCTCCCGCTGAACTGAAGAAGCAGGATGTAGAGACAGCCAGTTACAGTGCGTCGTCGATGATGTGCAGTTTTGTCAAAGTATGATGAATATTTACGTAAAAGTCTCTTGAATTAATGCAAAAAAATTAATTTGAATGTTTTGAAGCACTTTTCTGAGCAGAACCAACAACTAACGATGATTTTGAGCAGAAAAGCCCCAAATTTTTGCTACTTCTCTGCGCGTTAGCAAAACTTTTCTTCTATCCAACTGGGAAATTTCAAACGACGTCATGACATCAGGACGGTCCAGGCATCAAAAGCCAAGAATGTGAAGCGTGCTTCGTTTATTTTGACTGAATTGGACCTAATCCTCGGTTCCATGTAAAGGATCACATTCTCATCCAGCTGCTCTGTAGTCTTAACATTGTCCCTTTTACCACGCCATAAATCCTGACCTCTTTTCTTGACACACTTTATTAAAAAAATAAATAAAACAGGACCTGAATCTAGTAGCACAGTCAAACACGTCGTTGCATGGATAAATGCATCTAGTTACGATGTTCACTCAGGAAACGATTACACGCCTTTCCATCACAAGAAACCAAACCGTGATGGGCTGCAGGAAACATTTCACCTCTGAACAACATCCGTGTCGTTATCCAGCGCCAACAACAAATGTGAACGTGTTCAGGAAGCAGCACGCACCAGTTAGTCTGTTCACCTGCTTGTTATTTACAACACTGATGGCTACAGAGAACAGCTGAAGCTGGAACTAGGCCTGTCGCGATAATAAATCAATTAATTGCATGATAAATTAAAATTATCAGCCTCATTTTCATTTATCGGCTTTATCGTTTCTTCTTGTCTCTCTCTTTCTACTGAAGACACTCGATGACAAAAGGCTCAACTCCGGTGTTCTTCGCTGACCCCTCCCTTTATCGTTGGTCTTTAAAATTCATTTTAGCTATCCAAAATCACGTTTTTGGATAGCTAAAAGCAGCTAAGCTAACAGGCCGACCTCGGGGAAAACCTCCGTCTTGTCCAAGCTCCAAAATTCACAGTTGAAACCTGTGCCTTTTTGTAAAAAGTTGTTTTTCTCTGCAAGAAGAAGCTGAGAACTTGTTTACTGATTTTTTTATTAAAAGCTTTGTGTGAAAAATGCTAAAGAGCTCAAACCACACTGAGCGTCAGCCATTTTGAGAACCGAAGAGAGACAGCCCATGTCACGTCAAGGGGCCTCCCTCCCATTTTTCTTAGAGACACACTGGCTCCCTCACTATCCATCCTTGGGTTCAAACAGTCTTATACTGCCATCCAGTGGTCAAAAAAAGGTACTAAATGCAAAACAAATTCAACATTTCTTCTTAAATTTGACAATAATTACCAATTATTGTCAAATTTCAAACAATATTATCGTTTATCGCAATAATTTCTGAGACAATCGCCCAGCAAAATTTGTTATCGTGACAGGCCTAGCTGGAAGTACTCACTGACGGTCAGGAATAGGAAACTGTGCTTTAGCTTGTTCTGTGAGGGAAACGGTGCAGCTGCTGTCACACTGAAAATCGGAGCATTAATTTGAATAGAGTCAGTTGTTGAGTTTTAGGAACGGGACAGTTTGGGTGTACCTGAACTGTGCAGTGTTTCAGCTACAGCTTTATGGAAGTTTGGGACCTTGATTTCTCATGGGTTTAATTGGTTCAATCTGCTTTGCATGTGTGTAGTGTTGTAAAAATTTAATTAAACATACATGTTATCAAAAACATGAAGCAGGTAGTTATGCCCCTCAAACCGTTTTTCCTTCAAAATACTGTCCTGTTACCCATCATGCATTTGACAACAGATTAGCAACTTAACATCAGGCCTTTTTAGACATGCTGCTTTTTATTATTTTGAATGCAACTGCAAGGTAAACAAGCAGAACGCCAATGACCCCCGTCGCTGAGGGGTGTGAATAGTGAACGTTTGTAGTTTTGGAGATGAGTGTTTTTCTGGACTGGAATCGAACAGGGAAAGTTAGTAAACCTAAATGTTGTTGGTGCACGATATTCAAGTGTGGAGAAGTTAGACAGTGTGTAAAAACAAAGGTAGTTTTTGTTTTTTTCCTTGAACGAGGCAGCGCAGAGTGACCGATTCTGGCAAGTGGAGGGAAGAATTTTATCCACCACCCGGTGCAGTGGTGGAGCCAGGGGGTGGCCAATGGTGACCTTGGCCCCTATAGAATAATTCTTGGCCACACCAAGTGCCACCCAAATTATTTAAGGAAACTATACTTTTGAGTAATATAAGAACTAGAAAGCATAGTTTCCTCACATTATTGGGATGGTCGGTTTACACGCACACATACATGTGTGTGGTTGTGGCGGCCATCTTGACTTTTGACAAAGCAACCAAATTTTTGATAGTGAACTTTCTTATGCCTATATGTAGTCGCATACTAAAATGGATCATGCATGACTTGTTAGCGCTCAGAGCATGTGTTCGGGATGACGCTCAGCTACTCCCACACCAAATTTTAGCTCAACGTCTGTAAAACTGACTGATGGTGGCTGGCAGCCATCTTGAATCAAGCTGACGCAAAAAGTAATTAGTTGCAGATGTACATCCAGTGGATATTTTCTGAAGGTTTTGTTAAAATCCATCCAGCGAGTCCTGAGATATTTTGCTAACAGACAAACAAACACACATACTCCAGCATGGAGTCGGGTGGTAAAAAGACGGCAATCTTCATTTTCATTTGTGCATATCTTCCCAAATTTATGGTAATTTATTTAAGGCAGGGCAGCTTTTCTACAGCTTACTCTAATTTATTTCACTGCAGCACATCTTTTCCCAAATTTACAGTAAAACATTTGAGGTGGCGCAACTTTTCTAGCGTTTACGGTAATTCTCACATCTGGCTCTCGACATCTCTCAGCTTCTGTCTGCAGAGAGAAGCTGCCAGCCCATAAAGAGGTACAAGCCTGAAAAAAACAACATTGTGAGTGAAGAAACTAGTGTGGCTGTCACTAAAAGATAATTGAATGTACTCTGGACCTTTACTAAAGGAAAATGTCTTTAGAAGGATCTTACTGGTCTGATATCCAGCTTATTAATTTAGCAGTTCATCGTTTTATTGCATGTCTAAAAGAACCTTTGTTATATTTCCATAATACATCCAAACAGTGTAATCACAGTTTAATAAAAGGTGAGAAAAAACAGTAATATCCATGTGTTTATACTTCGAGTATGCATAAAAGACAGTAACCATAACAAAACTGAGTGTAATACTGGCAAGAGATTATATTAATTTGAAGAAATGTCTTATCACATGTTGGTTCACCAAACCTACGGAGCTTGGAGCGTTCTAGTCGTTGAGTAGTGAGGCAAGGGTAAAAGCTCTGACGTGTAGTACACAAAAAAATACATCACAAGTCACTGAAGTTGAGTCTTTCTTGAGGTTTGATTCTAGTCCACCACAGTTTGGACCTTCAGAGATAGAAGTTCAGCTGAGTTGTTACCCAGAAGCTTGCATAACATTGTTCTATTGATTTGTGTCCAACAAACTGATGCTGATTCACTGCATGTGCTAAAATTAAGTTCACTGTCTTTTGCTTCATGGTTTCACTACATTTCTACCATCAATAACTGCTCTACGAATACAAAAAAGTATAAAAAAGATGCATTTTTTCAGGTTCGATTTTTTTCTCGCAAAAGTTATCAGTCGTCCATTCTAGTCAGATCTGTGTCAGTGCATCCAACTTGGTATGAATGGTAGATGGAAGCTCTGATCAATTGCTCAGAGAAGAAATCTTGAATGGGTTAGGATAAAGAGTCCATACCCGAGGTAAAGGACCAGCACACTCGTTTTAGTGCTGTGTTTTACTTTGAAGTCTATCATGTGGACTAAAAGTCCAAACAATTCCTTACAACTCACATTTCCCCCCAAACTTGTCATTTGTTGTTGCTTGGCTCTGCGCACCTTGCAGGCAGTTTGCCATCGGGCTGGGGGTGTAATTAAATGGAGTGACTCGGGCAGCTTTGCTCAGGGAACCTTGGCGGAAGGTGACAACTCCACCATTGTGGCTGTCTGACATACCTGTGCTGTGGCTCCTCAGTGAGCCATCCGACTCTGGATCCTGGGGGTTACTCCCAGAAGTGGCACTAAACTTTCTCAGAAGTGCCAACCTTGCTGCTTCCTCGGAGATCACTGCAGCTGTTTCAGCTGGCGGAGAGGTGCTTGAGTTAGTCTTGTTATTGGGCAAATCTTCTGTCTGGACTGTTGCATCACTTGTCTTGCGTGATGCAAGGAGAATTGTTGGTAGTTTTTTAGGAAGATCTGGTAGCTTCGGCTTTTCTCCATCAGGAGAAGGCACCAGTGGTAACGCATTGGCAGGCAGAGTGCTCTTCAATATCTGGGGTACGTCTTCATCCCTGATCCTCCTCCAAGTAGCTCCATCTTTAAGTTTTGAAGAAGACCTCTGCCCTTTCTTCTTTGTGTCATCCTCACTTTTAGCTCTTCCACTTGAATCAGATGATGATGAGCGCACTGAAGAACGGCTGGTCACCCGACTCAGTATATTTATGCTTGGTGACGAGGCATGGCGTTTAATTGTGTCTTTGTCCTGTTGTTGTTTGACTCCAGAGATTCTGCTTGACCCGTTATGTTGGGCCACCCTGCAGGGACTTTCAGAGCTAGTTCTTCTGGCCTGTCGTCTTGCAAAAACATCTCTTTCGCTGGATGTTGTTCTTGACAGAGTTGTAGTCTGCTTTTGAGGTCCAGAGTTTGGCCTCGAAGCTTGCTGTGCTCGTCCAGACTCTTTTACTTGCAGCCTCCTTGGGGCTTGCACTGCAGCCTTGAGCTCCTGACAGCGGGATGAGCAAAGGAAGACAGCTGAGGCACCAGGAATTGCCCTGTGAGGGGATCCATTTTGTGATCCTGGAGTATTGTTAAGAGAGCCATCACGTCCTCGAACTGTCTTTGATTCTTTAATAAATGTCAACTGTCTCAAAAATCCATTCCGATCAGACTCACTACTGCTCGAATGGACAGAGGTCATCCTGACCAGGTCACACCGGTTAGCTGGAGAGGCCCTTCTTCCATTTATCTGATTACTTTGTCTATTGCATGTTTGGTTAGTTACCAATGGAGACAAAGGTCTGGATTGCCTGAGTGAACTCTGCATAAAAGGAATCCGGACAGGTGACTTCTGAGTTTTAGGTGGCGGAGATTTCTCGTTTTGATTGACAACAGGAGAGCGTCCTCTTCTTTCAGGTGGACTAGTAGCTGGGGAACTACTACTACTGGATGTGGAGGTCTTTTTCTGGATCGGTTTGTTTGTCTGAGTTGGGGATGGTGTTTTCTTTTGTGGTTGCTTGGATGGTGTAGAACTTTGAGACGACCCAGAGGACGAACTTTTTGGTATCCTTGGAGGTGGAGTAGAACTCCTTTTTGGAAGAGATATTTCTGTGTCCTGGGGGTGGCCTAGTCTGTGAAGGCTCTTTGATCTGTGCTGAGCAAGGTTTGGGTTCTTAGGAGCATCTGTCTTGGTAGGCACTTTTCTAGGAGGGGGTCGTTGTGATGGAGCCTCCTCTTTTTTTGGTGTGTAGATCACTGTTCTACCTCTAAACACTACTGGTAAGTTTGGAACTGGCTTGCGTTTCTCAAAGTCTAGAGGCTTATTTGCTTTTTTATCTTTAGCAAACTTCCTTTCTTTTGGTGTAAAGCTGGATGTTGACATGAATGACAGGACCGACTCGGTCTCTTCAGAGGATGGCTCTTGAGATTTTGATGCTTGCAGCCCAGTGACAACACAGTTAGCACCTTCCTGTATGGCTCTCCATTCAACACTGTTGAGGTCAGAATCTTTATCCCATCCCATATCATCACTGTCCATTTCTTCATACAAGTCCCATCCATCACAGACTTTTTGCTTCTGAGTATGTTCTGCCTTCTTTTTTCTGGAAGCAATTTTTCGCCTCTGTTTGGGCATAGCAGATGTTATGCATTTTTGAAGGAGGTCGTCCTCTGAGTCCATGCTGACAGAGCTTGGTGAGCTTTGTTCGTCATATTGGAAGTGTATGGTCACAGCCTTTGCTTGTTGTGCCATATTCATTGTTTTATTGTGTCTGTTCTTATACCATATTTGCTGGACTTTTGATTTATGGTCCTCAAATTCAGCATCACTGAGTGAACTCAGAGAGGAGCTTAGTGAGTAACATGCCAGGGATTCATCCCTGATCAGATTTTGTTTTATTCTCTGAAACCCTCTGGTTTTTCCCTGGGAATTATCTATTCGGCCTATATTTGTCATGCTTCGAGACAGTGTATTCCTGTTTATTTCCCTAATCTGTTTCCTGCTGGGTTGTTTGTTCACACCTTCACTTCTGTCATCGTAAAAGCTGTTACTGTCCTCTGAAGAATTTGTCATTTGTCGATAGATTTTGTTTCCATTATGTGATCCAGAATTCAGGTTGCCCTCTGTATTTTGCTTTATGATGGGGAGTTCAAGTTTTCTGCAGGGGGCTTGTCCTTGTTGCCTCTTTTGTTGATTAGGAGACTGATCCCGATATTTGAGGTTAGCTACTCTATCAGCCACCTCTTTGCTCTGCATCAGCACCTTCTGAGTGGGAACCACATGTTTTGTCGTTTGTCCCATTTGGATCTCAGGTGGGTAGTTCATCCTATTTGGTTTATGGAAGTGTGAAAATATCCTCAAGTCTTCTATTCTCTTTGCTTCATTGTTTTTCAGTTGCTTTTTGTTCAGGCCTTTAGCGATGCAGTCTTTAGCCCCCCTTTCTCTCAGCGAATACTGAAGTGTTTCATCACTCAATGATGTTGTACTGGAGAAGTTGACAGGTGTACCTTCTGTAGAATCAGTAAAGGAATTATCATCAAGTTTAAAGTCTTTTTGTGGGTTGACATTTCTCCTCTTGTGACTCCTTTGGGTTTTACCATTTGGAAGCATGTTAAATGGTAGATGGATTTGTTTTCGGATTTGGGAACTAAGTACATGAGGAGGCATAGTAGTAGTTAAAGTTGGTCTTACTTTTCTAAACTTTGAAGGCATTGCTGAGCTGATGCATTCCTTTAAAATCTCAATGTCATCGTCTGAGTTACACTCGCTGCAATGCTCCCTGTTGTCAAAACCTTGCTCATCTTCATTAGGGAACGGTTGATCCTCATCATTTTGCTGGAGTAGAGGGGTTAATTTCAACTCCACATCTTTCTGGATGTAATGTTCATGAAGGGGCAGAGCACTTAAGCTAGAAGCACAAGAGAAGTTTTCAATGGGTTTTTCAACTGTGAAGTAGATAGTGTCCAGATCAGGAGGAAGGTTAAACCTCTCTTTGGGATCTGCGGTCTCCATCAGCTTCTGCAGACTGCTTTCCCACTGGCCTGCTATTGCTGCGATTTGTGTTTCTGGTACATTTGGCTCAACACAGCATGGCGTTTTACTCCGACTAGGAGGCATTGTTTGTCCTGGACTATCTGGAAGATCACTGGGGCTTATTGTTCCATCAATCATCTCACTGCATGGATCACTTTGGATTGAACTGGCAATCGAGGGAGACTCAAAACTGCCCAGTGAACTGACTGAACTACAGCGACTCAGTACTAGAGGAGTTTCATGTATGTAATTCTCTGAGGAACTGGATGGGGATCTGTCTTCAATTATAGCAGGTGAAGCTTCTCTGAGGAACACCTTTTCCTTTTTGGCAGCACAGGGAATCCCAATGGGATTTATTTCTTTGCTGGGGAAGGTTTTTGAGTCTGTCATCAACAGTTGGCTATCACTCAAATCCTCTAAGGTTTCGTCCTCCTCTCTCTTCACCTCTTCACCATCTTCCACCTCAATTATTTCTAATGACGAGTCACTCTCAAGCTCATTGTCACTTTGTCCATCTAGCGCTCCATCACCAGAAGAGAGGGAGGACAGTGAACTACAGCGAGAGAAGCAGATTGGAGTGTTTTCCACAGAGTATTTCTGGACTGTCTCCATTGTCCCAATGGTTGGACTTCTGATGGAAGTCATTGGAGAAAACTTTGTAATACTACCCCCAGTCATCACAGTGGGTACCCATGCCTGCCTCCTCATTGCTTGAGCTGCTTGAACATTGATGTTTGTCTTTGCAACACCAAATTTGGCCACACTCTGAATCAGTGGGACCTGTTGGTAAGTAGGAGAAAGTTTAATTGATGTCATGCTAACATCAGAGGATACTTTTGTGGATACACTGACAGGTGTTTGCACTGGTGGATCTTGATTCTTTTCTGTGTCCGTGTTACTGAGCTCCACAACTTTCACATCTTTATTATTCACAGAATCTCTCTCTGGAATTTCCTGTTGGTTAGACTTGTCCAAATCAGTCGGACCTACATTTAGATATTCTTGATGAGCCACCTTTAGGTCAAGCTGGTTTGGTCGTTGTTGTTGCATTATTAGAGCTTTTGGAGATGTTTGGATCTGGTCTTTGCTGCCACAGTAGCCATCACTGGTGCTTCCACTATTCAGGCTATCTGTTGATACACTGGCATGGGTGTTTTTGAGACGCAAGAGGGCATGGGCTCGGCTTAGACGTTCTCTGTGGGCCAAACTGCCTGTATCAGAGAAACGGCAAGGGGAGCATGAACTTGCTCGGGCTTCATTGAGTTCATCTTGTCCATAAGCCCAGTCAGCCAGGTGGTCCTCAGAGCTCAGACTCAAACTGTCTTCAGAGGATGTGTGCATGGTGATGTCATCCACCAGCCTGTCGATCTTTGCGACTGTGTTGGTAATTTTGTTTGCAAGTGTCTCTGCAGCAGCAGAGACCACATCATCAGGAGGAGCATGCTTCTTATCCACCATCTGAGAAGGATCTGTGTCTCTCTCAGGTTCACCGTCCCTCTTTCGATGTTGATTTTGCAGAAAATTAGAGTTGGTGAGAAACATAGATAACATGGAGAAACTACCAGTGTCCAGGCTGCTGGAGTTATTGGGGGCTTCATCATCATCAAAGCAACCAGAATCAGATGCATAATCCTTTGCTAAACTCTCAATGTGCCTGAGTGGCTTGCCAAGGATCAGGTGCTTGGGGCTTTGTTTCTCAAGGGTATCAAAAGTCTCTGCAAGATGCTTGGCGTCTAGCTCTGCCTCTAAAGCCTTCTGTTTCCTCATGTACAGGGAGGGCAAGCAAGAGCCAGGAGATACAACTGCAGTATCTTTGTATTTCAAGGGTCGATTGGTTAGGAGGTTCCTTAAAGCTGCAGCACTGCCCATGGCAATCATCTTGTGCTTAGAATGGATAAGGTTGCGTAGCATGCTAACTGCCCCCAGGTCCCACAGCAGCTCCTGGTCTTTTGGACTTCTGGCAGAAAGGTTCCAGAGAGTCCCGCAGGCATTGCTCACTATGGTCAGACTGTGAGAGCGCAAGTGCTGCAGCAGAGTCTGAAGGCAGTTGTGGTCTCTGAGGATTTGCCTGCGCAGAAACAAAATAGATACTTCTTTTCAAACGCTGAGATCAGACAAAAATGTCTGTTTGTGCAGGAAAAATTATTCTTGATGGTACAAAAGTTGGCACTTTAGTTTTTGGAACCCACCTGTAGTCCTCTCGTGTGGAGATCAGACTCGACACATTTCGGAGGATCCCTCCTCCACTCTCGATGATGGCGAGTGAGTTAGTCTGGCAGCGGTAGGTCAGGGTGCTGACAAGGAAACCCAAAGCGCCATCGACTGAACAGATAGCCATCTTGTTGTCAATGTTGTGAGCAGACAGGTTCCACAAAGCGCTCAGAATACTTTTCAAAGTCGATTCCTGCAGGACGACAAAGCAAAGGCAGGCTTTCCTTGGTACTAGATTACAGATAACCTCAATATTAGGTGTTTCTGGCTACAGGATATATACATTTTACAGATCTTTTCCCAGGATATTCTCCCAGTCTTTCTAAAGTTCCCATTTCATCTTTTGATTGGGTTTGTTAGTTTTCATTACCTTGGTTGCCTGCAGGGCACAGGTCATCAGTGCAGACACACAGCCAACGTCTCTCAGAACCCTCTTGGTACTGATGTCAGCCCTCCAGGACAGGTTCCTCAGGATGCTGGAGACCACCTGATGAAGCTCCTCACTGTCAGAGGACAACTGGGCCACCAGAGCCTGCAGGCAGCTCTTCCTTGAGCACAGGGTGGCCTTCAGGATGAAGAGCAGGATGTAAGTATGGCGGAATAACTACCACATGTAAGATGTTAAAGAAAGTTAGCATCATGCTGCCAGCTTGGCGTGTACCTTGTTGACAACGTCTCCGAAGGTAAGGTTGGTCAGAGCCATGCCTGCGTAGCGGCGCAGAGCCATGTTGATGGGATCGTTCTGCATACCGTACATGTCCTGCTCAAGGTGGATCAGATCTGCCACCACCTGCAGACCACCTGCAAGGCACCAACAAACTCAGCTTAAAAAAACACTTAAATTCCTGACCCGTCATCTGTCAGAACGGTTGGAAATGATCAGATCCATCTTTAAACACATTGAAATGTTTTAGAAGCTGTTACTCTAACCAAAAGCTAACTGCCGAACAAATCCAGGGCTATAACATTTTCACATGGCTTCATTTACAGAATAAACTGTAAGAAAGTTATTTCTATTTTGTACACAAACCTAGTTCGTTCATGGCTCGTCTGTACTCCTCCTCAAAGGACAGCTTCATGATGGCACATGTGGCCTGACAGATCTGAGGGTCCACAGGTTCAGGGATATCTGCGCATCAGAAAATAACAAAATGCTAAATTATATTTGTTTTTGTTTTTTTCCTTAAGCAGCACAGTCACAGGTTAGAGAGCAACTCTATCCAAGTTGCAATGAAAGTTCAACTCTCTTCAACCTGTTCAGTCTAAAATTCAGACCAGTCTTTTAGAAGAATTTAAAAGGTAGAATTTTCCTCAGCAGGTTTGAGGTCCGGGCTTTAACTGAATCGTTCCAGGACAATTAACGGATTCTCCTGGATCTAGTGGAGCGTTGCTTCAGCTGTGGGTCTGGGATCTTTGTCCTGCTTTGTCCCAGTCTCAAGTCTTCCCAAGACTCCAAGTTTCTTCTATATTTTGCTCCATAGATCACTCTTTCAACACGGACCAGTTTTCCAGTCCCTGCTGATTAAAAAAAGCCCCCCCACACACACACACACACACACACACACACACACACACACACACTCACATCATGATACTGCCACCAAAATGCTTTAATGAGAAAAGTTTGAGCCAGACTTGCTTTTGTCCTTGACAGAGTAAAAGTTCTTTCTTTTCTTCTAAACATTATGCCCTGAGGGCGGCGCGGTGGATCAGCTGGTAGAGCTGTTGCCTCTCAGCAAGAAGGTCACCGGTTCTAATCCCGGCCTGGGATCTTTCTGGGTGGAGTTTGCATGTTCTCTCCGTGCATGTGTGGGTTTTCTCCGGGTACTCCAGTTTCCTCCCACAGACCAAAAACATGCATGTTAGGCTGACTGGTGACTAAATTGTCCCTCGGTGAGAGAGCAAGTGAATGATTGTTTGGCTTGTTTGTCTCTGTGTCCCTGTGATGGACTGGAGACCTGTCCAGAGTGTCCCCTGCCTCTCTCACAGTGACTGCTGGATATGGGCACCAGTGACCCAAAATGGAAGAAGTGGGTAAAGATGATGGATGGATGGATGGATGGATTCTGCCCTGTTATGTTTTTAGGTAATAACGTTCTTTTTCTGTTTATCCATGAAGATCAGTGCATCTTTTAGCGGTCCCACGGACAGAACCTTTTGAATCTTCTGAAGAGCGGACCAGCTCCATCGGGGTGATTTTCAGCCTCCTGGAAGTTTCTCTGATTTCTCCACTCCCTGTGTTTTGGTGGACAACTCTCTCTTGGCAGGTCTGCAGTGTTTCCATCATCTTTCCATTTCCTAATAACAGCTTTAACAGTGTTCTGTGGGATGTCAGGGATTGGAGGTTTTTTTATTTCCTTTAATACTTTAACTGAATATACTCATTGCAACGTCATAAATACCAGTCAAAACATGTTTAAAGTAGAAAAAAAGCTCAATATTTTTCTCACATCGATGACTAATGCTTCCTTAAAAAAAATCACAAGTTAAATTTGAGACTAGCTGTCGTTAACCATGTGCATTTGTTTACGTATTAAAAGAAACGACTGAAACTAGGTCAACCATCATGACATCTATAAAAGAGCCACTTGGGATGAAGTTGAACAGTTTTGATGTTTTCGTACATATTTACACTTGTATTTCCATCTGAACATCTTCTCTGAGATGCCATGATTGTCTGATTCTACCATATTGAACCTGAACCTCAACCGAACTGATGATAAATAACTCCTCTTATCTGGACAATGGCTGGGGGGGGGGGGGGGGGGGGGGGGTCTGGACTATGCTACGACCTTCCCTTAAAATTCAGTGTCTTCACTGGCCTATACCTGTATGTATATGTATCATGCCTATTTATGTGCTTTGCTGTGGTAGTTTTTTTTATGCCTCAAATCGTGTCCTGTCTAAGACACGGTGTGAGAGATATTTTTTTATATATCGTCTCTCCTCATGTTTTCTGCCATTTTCTCATCCAAGCAAAAATATTATTTTGAAGAAGAACAAGAGGGCCGCGCTCTTTACAGTTGCAGCTTTGTGCACTACGTCCATCTTTCGGACGACTGTAGGCACATGCTCTCGTTGTATCTCGGTGCAATGATAATAAAGCTTATTCTGATTCTGATTTGTCCAAATCCAAATATTATTTATCCAAATATTGATACCATCGCTGCTGTAATATCACTAAAATTAGAAATATCCAAAACTGTTGCAGATAAACTGGTCCATGCATTTGTCACGTCTAGACTGGACTATTGCAACGGTTTATTATCTGGGTGTCCAAATACGTCTTTAAAACATCTTCAGTTGATCCAAAATGCTGCTGCCAGAGGCTTAACTGGAGTTACTGGGAGAGATCAGATCTCTCCAGTTTTAGCTTCTCTCCATTGGCTCCCTGTCAAGTCCAGAATTGAATTCAAAATCTTACTTCTACTCCCGAACAGCAGCGGTGTAATGCCCAGCCTGACTTTATGAACGCCTCCATTATTCGTTTTTACTTTACTCTCACCGGTAGTTTTGGTTCCTCCAGGTGAAGGCGTCGCAGCGTGGCTCTCCATCCAGTCCCAACCGCTGTCACAGTAAGTCCGGATCTGCTCAAGCATGTGCAGGACCCTCATCTCCCGGCGGGCCTGGCCTTCGTCCTGCTGGGAGTAGATGATGTTGTGGAGGGCGGCGCTCGCTCTGGACTTTGTCTCTCGGCTGCAGCTCGTCGGGGCGCCGCCTGCTGCCGCCGTCTCTCCAGAACCTCCGGGAGCTTCGTGCAGGATCTGAACGAGCAAAGGGACGCAGCCGGACTTCCTCATGGCGATGCAGCTGTCCTGGGAGCTGGACAGGGCCAGCAGAGTCCGGGACATCTCGTCCTTGTCTCGGTTAGCCAGCATGGAGAGCAGCCAGAAGACCATCTCCACCTGAGAAGACGCACAAAGGTAAACTTGTTTATAATAAAAAGCCCCGCCCCCCACAAAAAAGTTTTTTAAGAGCCTTATTGCTGTAAATGACTAATTATTTTAAAAAAAACTCCTCTCTGTGTTTAGATTTTACACGACAGACTCCACCGTGCCATTTTCTTTTCAACAATAACAAAAGTTTCATCTGTGAGTGAAAAACTGCTGATCAGCTGATCCTCATCATCGGGAGCACCTCTTTTGCTCCTCTGAAGCATACAGCTGTGTGTGTTCACACAACGCCAAGGCAGAAAGACATCAGCAATGACCGCAGAGACGCTGCTGTTGCTTCCTAACATTCAGGGAAGGGTCAAAGGTCATTTAGTTAATCATTCTACAAAGGGAAGAGGAAATCCTTTAATACAGCTGAGAATCCTCTCAGCCCCCTGAAGGTCAGACTGTGCAGTGCTCAAATAAATAAACTCCATCTCAGACTGTACAGGTTAGTAGGTTAAAGGTCAAAGGTCACAACAAGACAAATAAAAACAACTAATTAGGTTTAGTTGGTACAACAACGTGTTAGAGCCACTCAGAAGAAAAAAAACAGACTTTTTAAATACAATTTTTAAGTTTTAAGATTAAAAGGTGAACATGATTAAAATAAAAAAGTGGTTTTTGGAGTTGGTGGGGTTCACGTCTTCTGATGACGTTTTTCTCAGCATTATGATTTATTTATTTAATGTTTAAAAAAAAACTTCTTATTTTTGTTTTTCCTGTGTGTCCTTCATACGCCACTGCAGAAAAACAAAAAATTACCCATAATGCACTGCAGCAAACACTTCAAATGAAGCCTGATGATTCGGACTGGGAAAATGTCTGAATAGGAAAACATTTCAGTTTTATAGTTAGAGTTGTGTTTATTATTCAGCAGTTTTTACAGATTTAATATTTATTTAACATATTTACTGATTTCCATGTTTTTTCCCAGGAGTCAGTGATTGAAACACTTGATGTGATCAAACTCAAAGTTTGATCTTTTGTTTGAGAAGTCTGGTGTTTTTACGCCTCGAGGCTTCGGGGGGCGAGTCGTTACCTTGCTGCCTCCGTCGGCAGCGTCCGCTCCTGCAGCCGCCGAGCCGCCGCTCTCCGGTTCTCCTGCAGGAGGCCTCTCAGCTCCGGACAGCTGCACACAACAGGACAGAAGACGTGATTCGACCCGGTTCTGGTCCCCTCTGCAGGCTCGTGAGCGTCTTCACTGCAGACGGTTGTTTTTGGTAGTGTTGATGTAGAAAACACTTCTTTAAGTAATTACAGTAATTTAATGTGACATGTTTTATTTTTGTACCCAGCTTTGTATCATTTGATGTTCTTTTGTAACTTGTACCGTTATTTTGTTTAAGTTCAGTGATTTGAATAAATCCCAGTTTGACAAAGTTCAGATCCTTCACTTTCCTTCTTGCAGGCACGTTTCACCTCGTTCCTCTAAACACGAACGTTTAAAAAAAACGGGCCCAAACGTTCATAAATTCCTTCTACGACCCGTCTCGCTCTTGGCTCAGACAGACAGGAACACAAACAGCTTCATTTAGATTCACAGGCTGGAATCCTCAAAGGCTCGAATCAAAGCTTTCACCCCCGTCTCCTCCGTCCCGTCACCATGGCAACGCCTCAGGGTGTGATGAACGTGTGAGAGCTGCAGAGATGGAAACAGTGCAAACAAAGAGCTGAGCTGTTTCTGCATCTGGCTCCTGTTTAACAAAGGAAAGCTGAATGTTTCTTTATTTTTTTGTGTGCCGTCGTTGGACCCACTGAATCTGTGGCGCCGATCCAAAACCTCCTCCATTAAAACAGCAGCAACAGCGAGCCCACAAAATGGACGCCAGCGAGCCGAGATAAAACCTCAATCAGAGCCGTTTGTGCGCTGCGACGGAGGACGACCACCTCTGCAGAGACAAATCTGTGAATCCACAGCTTTAAGAGCTGTGCTCTTTCTGACAGAGGGAGATCAACCCAGATGAGTCAGAACTGCAGGTCCCAGAGACGGGCTTTTTTACACGTTTGCACTGGACGATGTTCAGAGCAGACATGGACACGTTTTCAGCTGAAATGAGGCCTGACGCCGCCAGGCAGGCAGCAAAACCCCAGAAGTTTTACTGTCGCTTTTCAAGGACGATACGTCTCAGAATCTGGAGAGCCAAAACATTCACCCTTTAGGTTTCAAACAGAAAAGACTAAACTAATCTACGAGCCTCTTTCAAAATAAAACTTGCACGCTGAGCCTGAGACGGCCTCTTCTTTTATGAATTATGAAATAATTTTCATAAGTCATTGAAGTCAACCTGCTGTTGTTATGCTTCTGAGCAGTCTACATAATATATGATATATAAGCCAGCAACGTGACTCCATGGTGCGATGACATCACACACGTGCAACCAGCGAAACGAGCCCAAAGTTGTTTAAAATGAGAAGTTTGGAAACCGTGGTGATTTTATCCATGTTCCACATGACGCCTCCCGCCGCCCATGGTTCCACGTGTTTGAGTCAAGTCAAATTCATTCATAAAGCACATTTAAAAACAGTTACCAAAGTGCTTCACAATAAAAATCAATGGCAGTAATTTAAAGAAAAAACAAAATCTCAAATTAATTAAAAGCGTCAAAAGAAAAACACAAAAACACAAAAACAATGCAATACTAACTCATATCACAGTGTTTGTTACATGTCAGTGAAAACAGGCGTTTTAAACAGAGATTTAAAAACAGGAAGTGAAGTGTCCTGTCTAATGTTGGGGGGCAGATTGTTCCAGAGTTTAGGGCCACGACGGAAAAACCCGAACTCCTCTGAGCTTCAACAAAAAGCAACTGGTCAGATGAGCTCAGAGCCCGAGAAGGAACATAAGGTTGAAGTAGCTCAGGGAGATAAGAAGGTGCGAGGCCATTTATGCACTTAAAGGTCAACAGGAGAATATTAAAATCTATTCTGATACGTACAGGGAGCCAGTGAAGGGAGGACAAAACTGGTGACATATGATCAAACCTACGAGTTCCTGTTAAGAGCTGAGCTGAAGCATTTTGGACGAGCTGGAGACGTGAAATGGAGACCTGACTGACCTCAACATCAAGTGTGTTACAGTAGTCTTGTCAGGTTGTAATAAAGGCATGGACTATTTTTTCAAGGTCAGATCTGGTCAACACAGACTTGAGCTTAGCTGTCTGCCTTAAATGGAAGAAGCTTTTCTGCAGAACAGAGTTTATCTATTTATTAAACTTAAAGTCAGAGTCTAAAACCATCCTGAGATTCGGAATAGACTGATTAAGATATGGCTGAAGAGAGTCAAGGTTTGCAGGAAGAGAGACAGCAGCTAGGGCTAAACACGACTTCAGTTTTCTGATCGTTGAAAGTTGAAAAAATTGAATCCATCCATGCTTTAATGTCATCAAGACATTTAACAGAGTGTGAATGGAGCAAGAACTAAATCTGACCATCATCAGCATAGCAGTGAAAAGAAAGACCCTGTTTCTCAGGATAAACCCCAAAGGGAGCAGGTACAGTGAAAACAGAACAGGTCCAAGAATTGAGCCCTGAGGACTTATCCATGTCTACAAATTGCTCACAGAGGAACTTGTCATATAACAGAACCGTTTTGTGAAAGAGGCTCCAAAATCCAAATGATTTAAAATTATTTTCACAAGCTTGGTTTCACTTTAGATCTGACTCATATCTTATATGTTTTTTTTTTTTTTTTAAAGGGTGTTACAGTGTGGGGGCCAAGCAATTAAATTTGCCCGAGGCCCTATTGGAGTTACCACCGGCCCTGTACTAAAAATAACACGAAGGATTTTTCTTCATTTCGCAGCAGAAACCAGAATTTCTGCTTCTTTGAACCAATCACGTCCTCTGCTGTCAGACAGAGGCATGAAGCCAAACTGGTCGAGCAGGAATGCAGCTCAGCTGACAGACGGTGAGTCTCACAGACGCCTGTTTCTGCTCTGAGGTCCGTCCGATGGACACCTGATCCGCTGACTTTCAGGAGTTCGTTTGGTTTGTAAATGAAGATGAAGAAAAGCCGAAAGTGAAACAGCTGTGAGTATCTGACTCTTCCTGACATCAGAGTAATGCTGCCTTTACTGAAACACCACAACATGTTTCTGCTTCCCTAATTTAAAGACATCAGGCTCTTTCCTGGTTCCTGTCAGACGCTGGTCGGTTGATCCGTGTCAGTGTTGCATTTTAGGAGGAGACAGATTTTAGTTTAATGGACTGATGTTGAACAGACAAGAGGGAGGTTTTAGTTTTTGGACCTGAGCACCTTAGGAATCAATGTTTCAGTCTTTCTCCCTCCTTAGATGCATTAATGTGTCCTCCAGCTCTAATGTTAAAAATCTTGGTGTTATTTTTGATCAGGACATGTCTTTTATCCCCCACATTAAAAACGTTACTAGAACCTCCTTCTTCCACCTGCGTAATATCACTAACATTAGAAACATCTGATCTAAAGATGATGCAGAAAAACTGGTCCATGCATTTGTCACGTCTACACTGGACTATTGCAATGGTTTATTATCTGGGTGTCCAAATAATTCTTTAAAACGTCTTCAGTTGATCCAAAATGCTGCTGCCAGAGTCTTAACTGGAGTTACTGGGAGAGATCATATCTCTCCAGTTTTAGCTTCTCTCCATTGGCTCCCTGTCAAATCCAGAACTGAATTCAACATCTTACTTCTAACCTACAAAGCTCTCAACAACCTAGCTCCATCTTATATTCAAAATCTTATTGTTCCATATTTTCCTAACAGAGCACTTCGCTCTCAGAGTGCAGGTTTACTCATGGTTCCTAGAGTTTCCAAAAGCAGAATGGGAGGAAGATCTTTCAGTTCTCAGGCTCCTCTCTTGTGGAACCAACTTCCAGTTTCTGTCCATGAGGCTGACACATTGTCCAGTTTGAAGACGGAGATTAAGACTTCCCTTGTTGATAAATCCTATAGTTAGGGTTGTTATGCTGCTATAGACTTAGACTACTAGAGGACAAATTGACCTCATTTCCTTAAATGAATTGTTGAAATTGAATAGTTTTCATTTGATACTATTTCTATCTTAACATGTGATTCTTGACCTGCCATTGTGTATCTATTCCTACCAAACCCAGCCGGTCGAAGCAGATGGTCCTCTTGTCCTGAGCTGGTTCTGTTAAAGGTTTCTTCCTCATGAGGGAGTTTTTCCGTTCCACTGTCGCCTTCATGCTTGTTCAAGATGAGAGTTCTGTGATGGAGTTAAACTCAAAGCTGCTCCTCAGATAAATAAAGTTAAATTATTATTTTTATACATTAATGTTTCTGTTCAGCGCCTGAGACGACTTCTGTTGTGACTTGGAGCTTTATAAATAAACTGAACTGAATTGACAAGTAATTCATCATAGAAACGAATGTTTCCAGCTTATTATCAAGAAGTTTTACAAAGATTCAAACTCCTGTTCCTTTTCTTGCATTCTGGCAAAGACTCTATAGTTGGTTTAATTTTCATATGCACCTTTTTCAAATCAAAAGACCTTTGGTGTGACGAGGCTTTGAAAGGTCTACGCTGCAGTTTCGCTCTGAAATCAACCACCAAAGAGTGGGTCCGAGTAGTCGTAGTTTGGTTATTGTCAAGGCAAAAAGATTATTAACAGGGACATTGATTTATTTTGGACACTTTGTTGGGTTCAGCTAAAAAGTAAATACAAACATTAAAGAATGGGAACGATACAGAAGAGAAAACAAACCTTACAAAAAGAAACCAAATCATTTTGCCATAGAAGATGCAAAAAAAAAATCCTGGATTCATTCAACTTTATTACTACAATTCTGGATTGAGTGGATTCATTCTTCACAAGTTTAAAAGTATAAATGCAAAGATGTGTCCAAAGTACTAATCATCAAACCAGCGTTGTGGAAATAAACAAATCTTCTGCCATTTCTGACCCATTTGTGTCTCGTTTAACAAAGTGAATCCACATGCAGCAGTTCGTTCACTTGGTTGATGTAATTAATCTTTATATTATCGATAAAATTTGTTTTGATCTTAGAAAGTGTTTTTGAACTTGGTCTGGACAGTTAAGCTACAAACAAATCCTGAATTTTAGCATCATATTAATTTGGCAAAGAAAAACCCAATAAAATTTAACTAGACATGACACCAACGACTGTTACATGACTGTAAAATAATTAAAAAGGTAATATAATAAAAATCAAAAAGTCTTCTTGAGAATTTTAGAATATCGACTGAGGCAGTTTTCACTCAACGTTTCAATCAAAACTGTTTATTTCACTAAGTCAGAATGTGTTAAATCGAAGTCAAAGCAGCTTTTATTGGAATAAGACAAAGTCTCTGCTCTTTGAAAGTACTTTTGAGTGTACAGTGAGTACATGTTGCTAATTATCTCTGGTTCTACAGGAAGTTCATGCCTTTCAAAATAAAAAGGACTAAGAAGAAACAGCGATAAAAAGCTGTAAAACTAAAAAGGCTCAAAATGAGCCTCGTTGGAGAACCGCCACATGAAATCCATCAGAAGGAGGTGGAGATCCAGGAGGACGAAGAACCCGTCTCAGAGGGGAAGAGCGACGACGACGTTCGAACGAAAGAGTTTACGCCGAGTCAGACAGAAAAAAGAGCGATCAGCCCTCTGACTCTGCTCAAAGACGACTTCAACCAGTTGAAAGAAGAAATAAGGAGAAAGTTCAAAGAAATAGAGACGAACACAAAAACGAACGAGTTTCAGGAGAAGCAAGTTAGACCTCAAACTCTGCTCAGAGAGGACCTGAATCATCTCAAAGAGAACCTCGCCAGCGTTTTCAGAATTGGCGTTCCAAAAAAACAAGAGAATACGGACGAAGCTGTGAAGGAGGACAACAACTCCAGGGTCCAACCGTCCAAAGCTGAGAGAGCCGACGAGCCCTTCAGGAGTCTGTTCAGACGGGAACGAGCTCACCCAAAGAGCCAGCAAAGAGCAGAGGATGTTAAGGAAGTTAAAAAGAGCAACAAAGGCAGAAGTTTCAGAGGTATTTTAACAAGACAGAGCACAGAGAAGGGCAACGCCACAAAGAACCACGAGAATAAATCTAAAAACATCGAGATGAATGTTATCGACTCTGAGATAACCGTGATCACTCAAACACAACACGGTGAGATGTTCAGATCAAAAACAGGTCAGACTACGAAGCTAGCTGATGGATCGCTTTAATGTTGCATTTTTGTCTAATGTGAAGTTAAGTGTGATGCATTCAATGCCATTTTCCTGCAGCTGCTCAGATGTGTGAAACTGACGACTGGAGTGAGGACACTTCCGTTGTGTTAGTAGATGATGGACCTTTAGCGAGTCTTTCCTCAGAGACTTTAAACTCTGGAATCAATTTATTCACTCTGGGAAAACATCTGAGGTAAGTTTACACCATTGGTTGGTTCTCGAACTATCTTTCAGATCGAAGCAATGTGTTCAACATAATGGTACTTCCTCCAGTTATTTAATGGTCAACAATGGAGTACCACAAGGCTCAGTCTTAGGACTCACCCTCTTTACAATCTACATAGGTCAGAGCATTCCTGATGCATCCTTACATTTCTATGCTGATGACACAGTTGTTTATTGTCGAGCTAAAACTGTTGCTAAGGCTTTCCAGCTTTTGCAATCCGCCTTTGACATCATCCAGTCGGATTTTCTCCATCTCAAACTTGTCCTAAATGCCGATAAAACCAAATGGATGTTGTTTTCAAACAGGAAGTCGATCCCAGCTGTTCTTCCTCTGATTTTATCCTCAAATGGTGTCCCTATTGAGTTTGTTGAATCCTACAAATATTTGGGTATCTTGGTCGACTCACATCTTTCTTTTAAGCTCCGTGTGGAAAACTTGGTAAAGAAACTGAAACTTAAACTGGGTTTATTTTTCAGGAACAGATCCTGTCTAACCCTGAATGTTAGGAAACACCTTGTATCTGTGACTTTCCTTCCCTCCATTGATTACGGTGACATTATTTACATGAACGCTCCTACAAGAACCCTGCAGATGTTGGATGCTGCAGATGTTGGATGCTGTCTATCATGGTGCACTAAGATTCATAACTGGCTGTGATTATCGTACCCACCACTGCACCCAGTATTCACTGGTTAACTGGACATCATTAACTTCACACAGACTCTCCCACTGGTATATTTTCATCTTTAAATCACTTCTTGGTCTGCTGCCTTCATACATCTCCTCCTACATGTCTCTGCGTGAGTGCAGCTACAGCGTGCGCTCTCAGGACATCATTACCTGCAGTGTTCCCTCAGTGAGGACTGAACTAGACAAAAGGACCTTCTCCTACTCCGCTCCTGTTTCCTGGAATATCTTGTAAAAAGATTTGAAGCTCTTGACCTTGACCTCTCCAAGTGGCTTCAAACATCTGCTAAGTTCCTGGACCAACACAGACATGTTCCTGTTTTTATTATTTTACATCACTTTATAATTAAGGTGTTTTTATTTAATTTTTTTATACCATTTTCTTTCACTTGTTCTTCTCAATTTGTATGCTTTCTTTTATGATTGTCTGTTGTTGTCTTTGTTGTCCACTGTTGTCATCAGTCTCTCTTGTAAATGAGTCCCTGAGGCTCAATGGAACTAACGTATATAAATAAAGGTTGAATGAATGAATTAACCCTTTATTGTGCAGCCAGACTTGAATTAAAACTAAAATTGTTTAAACAATGTTTAACGATCTTTCTTTGACTTTTCAATGTTTGTGTTCCTGCAGTAATCAGCCAACGGAAGATCTGTGGTCACCAAGGAACTGTAAGTTCACGTTCATTTGGTTTATTTCTGCTTAAAAGTGAAACTTTTCTCTCTTTGTGTTTCCTTGGAGACTTTGATCAAGTTTACAATGTCATCTGCAAAGAGTGAAACGTTTAATGTTTTATCCAGAAGGTTTACCACTTTAGAGTTTAATAAACCATCACTTTTATTTTAATATAATTCCACATTGGGAATTTTGTTGTTTTTGCCACATCTAAACTCACATTTCTGCCGTCATTTTGTAAGAATATTAGCTGATCAAATACTCTTGGTTCTGGTTTTACCAACAGTTGCCACCTATCTGACCCTTGACCCCAACACTGCTAGCCCGGAGCTTCGTTTAAGTGATGGCAACAGAAAAGCGATTCGTGACTGGTTGAACCCTTGGCCTTCGGAACACCCGGACCGGTTTGAGGGATGCCCTCAAGTCCTCTGCAGGGAGGGGCTTCTGGATTCAGTTTACTGGGAGGTGGAGTGGAGCGGTGGTGCAGACATTGGCGTCACCTACAACAGCATCTCCAGAGACAGAGACCCAACGAGCTGCCTGCTGGGACACAACAGGTGGTCCTGGAGTCTGGAGTGCTCTGAGGGAAGGTACACGCCGTGCCACAACAACAAGAGGTTCAGGTCCTCCTCACCTGAGCCCTTCACCCACAGGATCGGGGTTTTCATTAACTGGCCTGAAGAATCGTTGTCCTTCTACTGCATTTCAAAGGAGGCCATGGTTCACCTGCACACCTTCAGCTCCAGCTTCACGGAGCCTCTGTACCCGGGGTTCTGGGTGTGGTCCAGTGACGGCTCGGTGTCGCTGTGTCAGGTGGAGTTGGACTGGGAGCGACTGCTGCAGTGAAGCACTCAAAGCACGGAGGGAGGCTTTTAATTTGTAATTTATTCATGTAACTGCTGAGACGTCAATAACACGAGTTACACTCATTCAGGAAATGAGTTCCATGACTTTTATAATTTTTAAAATCACTTGTATTCTCATAGAAATGCACCAAAACCTCTTCAATACCATAAAAACATTGTTGTCCTTGAAATGTGCTTTAGTTGCTCTATTTTTGTCCATTCTGCCACTTTTAGCTTTTTTCTCTGCTTTTGCTACATGCAGTACTTTTTACCAAGCTTTTGCTAATTGGTACTAGGCATTTGCTACATTTACCTATTTTTTGCTGCTTCTAGCTAACGTCTTGTTACTTTTAGCTGTTAATTAGCTTTTTCCAACATTTTGATTCTAACATGTTTTGTATTTGCGCTAGCTTTTTTTCTACATTTCGAGCTTTGGCTAATTGTAAATTTTTCTATGCTTGAACTACTTTTACCTTTTAACTTGTGCTTGGCTGCTTTAAATTAGCTTTTACCTACTTTTAGCCTCTAGCTACCAATTTTCATTTGTAGCTTTTAGCTTGCAGTTATTCAGCCTTTTGCTAACCTTGCACTACTTCCAGCTTTTAGCCACTCCTGCTACATTTAGCTAGACTTTTTTTACTTTTTAAACCCTGTTTTGTTTTTTTCTTTAACTTTTAGCTAGGATGATGACTTGCTGAGGTGACCCCTGGAAAGGGAACTGCCGAAAGCAAAACAAGAATCTTGTTCTGTTTCTTTTAGCTTTAACGATTCAGTTTCAGCTTTTTCAGCTAATTTCAGCTGGGTCATTTGGCGTTCACACAGTATTTTAGCAGAAAACGATTCCTCTCATTTAATTTAGTTCTCGTTTTGCGACTGTGTCGCAGCCGAAACAAGCTGATGTTTCGTACGGTCACGTGCTGCTGTGGGACTGATGCAGGGGTCATCTGTAAAGCGGTTCTGCGGCTCTGCTTGTGTTCTTTATGAGGGAGGTGTCGTGTCTCGTGGAGCTGACCTGTAGCTGGCTCTCCTGACTCCCTCGGACCTCCTGCAGCTCCTTCTCCAGCTGCTCCAGACGAGCCACACGCATCTGCAACACAGACGGTTCAGACACGCTCAAGATGCTTCCTCCAGCAGCTACACTGCATGTTTTATTCTGCATTTGCTTTAAACACCTTCACAAGGAATATTAAGTATCACTGGGTGGTAGACGGTGCCGCAGCCGGAGGTCTCACCTGCGTCCTGTGAACCATCTCATCGTTGGTGCCGAAGCGTTCCTCCATCACCGACCGGACCTGCTGAACCTCGAACTCCAGCTGCTGCCGGATCAGATCCATCTGTAGGGAAAACTGCAGCCATGCACAGAGGTCAGAGGTCAGCAGGAGAACACCTCTACGGATCTGGGTTCAAACCATTACCATGAGGCCCCGCCCCTTCTCACCGGCTGCCCTAAAACAGCTCTAAGTGAAATCGTCTTTTAGTGCGTCTGAGTGTTTTCTTGTGTCTCACCATGTCGATGCGCGGCAGCTGGGCCAGTTTCTGCGACAGCGCCTCCAGCTGACTGAAGTACCAGCAGCGTTCCCGCTCCTCGCGGTCGATCTCTCCCAGCAGGAGGTTCCTGCAGAAGATCACGCTTAATGGAAGGTTTGTTCAAGTTGTTTCCTGCTACTTCTGCATACTTGGTGCCGTTTCAACTGTTTATATATCACAACGCTGAGTTTAAAAGATGAGCCTGGTGACTTTGGTTTCTGTAACTTTTATACTTTTCAAAATATTTTACTTTATGTACAAATATTTGCCTCATAGAAACACACTGAGATCTCTCCAGCTCCACGAAAAACTTTGTTCTTTTTGAAATCCACTTCAATACGCTGCTTCTGTTGAAGTCTTCTTATGCAACATTTAGCTTGTAGCTAGCCTTTTGATACCTTTAGGTTTTAGCTCCTATTTAGCCACTTTTAGGATCTAGTTAGCATTTTGCTATTATGAGATAGAATTTTGCTACTTTTTGGATCTTGTTAGCATTTAGCAAATTTTAGGATCTAGTTAGATTCTGCTACTATAGCTAATAGCTAGCCTTATGATACTTTTAGGTTTTAGCAAGTGTTTTCATACTTTTTAGTTTTGGCTAACATTTGATACGTTTAATTAATGATTTTCTGCTTTTAGTTAGCATTTTGTTAATTTTATGTTGTAGCTACTGTTTGTTTTGTTATAATTTTGCTACTTGAGCATATAGGTTATATTTTGCTACATTGCCTATTGCCATTTTTAGGTTTGAGCTACATTTAGCTATTTTTAGGATTTAGTTAGCGTTTTGCTACTTTTAGCTTATAAGTAGCATTTTGATACTTTTTGTATGAAGTTAGCGTTTTGCTACTTCTCAGCTCTTGTTAGCATTCTGCTAGTGTTAGTTACATTAAGGAGCTAGATAGCATTCTGATACTTTTAGTTTATAGGTAGCATTCTGCTACTGTTAATAACTTTTAGGAGCTAGTTAGCATTCTGATACTTTTAGCTTATAGCTACCATTTAGCTACTCTCAATATTTAGTTAGCATTTTGTTACCTATTGCTTATAGCTAGACTTTGCTAGATTTAGCTTGTAGATAGCCTTTTGCTACTTTTCTTTTTGAGCTATATTTAGTTATTTTTAAGATCAATTTAGCATTTTGCTACTTTTAGCTTATACCTAGCATTTTGATACTTTCAGTATTCAGTTGGTATTTTGCTTCTTCTCAGCTCTTGTTAACATTCTGGTACTTTTAGCTTGCAGTTAGCATTTTGCTACTTTTTGGATCCAAGTTGCTACTCATAGCTTATAGCTGGTGTGTTGCGGCTTCTGTCCTTAAACTAGAATTTAGCTTTTTTTTTAGCATTTAACTGGTATTGCTTTTTTTTTTTTACTTTAACAGCTAAGCTTTAGCTTCTTCATTCGTTCGGCTCTCAGTGTTCTCGCTGCAGAAAATGTGATGTTTCTGATCTTGAATAATTTTGTTTGTTGGACTGAATTAAAGGAACAATCAAAATTGTACCCTCCCGACGCTCACCTCTCTTTGTACAGCTCCTCCAGGTGATGGTCACTCAGTCGTCCATCCGCTCCACTAATCACAGCTGTTTTGGGCGGAGCTCCATCCAGGAAGTGATGCGGCAGCATGATGGCGGCCTCTCTGCTGGACGCTACGCTCTGACGTGACGCAGCTCGGAGCGGGCTCCTGGCTCTGTTCATCGCCGCCACAGAGGAGGAGGCAGAGCAGCAGGTGGATGGAGGCAGAGCCAAGTGCTCCAAACTTCCACCCATGGCTGGCCCCGCCCCTGGGATACCTGTTAGCCCCGCCCCTCCAGGGCCAGCTGTCAGAAGCCTCAGGTTGTGAGGCTGGTGTTTGAGCTCGTAGTAGTTGGTGAGGTCCATGTGGAGCTCTGAGTAGGGGGAGCAACAGTTTTATTTTTTATTTGTACATCATCATCTTTATGTAACCCTCCTGCTGCCCTTGGGTCAAGACTGAAGTCTGTGAGTCATTTTCACCCAAGGGCAGCAGGAAGGTAAATACCAGAAACACATCGACTTCACTGAATTTCTGCTTTTCTCTGTCGTGCATCATTCAGTAAACAGCCCTCGGCTTTTAATCTCTGCTGTGGCTAATTGGTTTAATTGAAATGGCCCGGCTGCTTAATTGGACTGAGTCATAACGAGGCCCAGCCAGCTGCAGCCAATCAGATTAGTCGGTTGAGTTTGTTCCTTTTTGTGTGAATGAAAAGTGGTCCCGGCAGAGTCGTTACGCCTGAGAGCAGACGGCTCCAGCTCAGAGAGACTTCAATGACGGGGGGTGTAAAACGATGACGTCGTGGTGTAATGTTCGTCAGGCAGAAGGTTTCGAGGGTCCAAAGGCCTGGATGTGTAGGAGAACACAACGTTCATGTCTGGGGTCACATTTGCTTCTCAAAGTGAACAACGGGACCATCTTGACCATCTGCCTGCCTGACGGTCACATGTTATCAACCTTTAATGTGCTAAAAGTTTCCTCGTGTTTACATGCCTTCACGTGGATTTACCTGATGATAGCTTCACCTTATCAACCACGTTACTTCTTCAGATGGGTTTATTTCTAAGATGACTGTGTGTAAAGAACGTGTTGAGCTTGTGTCGGTCAGTTTTAACCAGCGCTACGCTAACAGAGATCACAAAGACACTCGTTGAAACACGAGTCAGACGGAAACACATCTCCAGGAGGAACTTAATTATTCTAATGAAAGAGCAGAACAAATAAAGATGTCAGACCTTTGAGTTGGTGCAGGACGTCGCTCCTCCCTGATGAGGCCAGCGTGACGGCTTCCTGCTCCAGTTTGCTCTGGAGCTGCTTCAGCACCTCCTGCATCCAAGAGGAGGAACCACAGAGTTCAGTCCTGCAGCTTTGGCCACAAAAACTAAAACTTGGTTCTTGAAAATCTCGTCGTTGCGTCAAAACGTCGTCTCTCGTTCCTCCTGCAGACTCACCTGCTGCTGCAGCTTCAACGCCGCCTGGTTCTGACCCTAAACCCAGCCGAGCTCGGGCAGATAATCCAGCTGCTCAACATCTGGACACGTGACTTAGTGTGTGGGTGTGCACGTGCGTGTGGTGTTTGTGTGTCGGCAGCTGAAAGGATTTGGATTTAGGTCTTGGCGTGATTGATTGTCGTTCATTTGGACGTGGAAAGATGAAAATCTGACTTTTACGACTAAATTCTGAAGAGAAAGTATTTAAATATAATTTTTATTAACCTTTATTTAACCTTTATTTAAATATGAGCTGGAATGTTTATTTTCCTCTTTTCTGTGGGAAGGAGCCCAAAATCCTCCTAAATGAGGAGAAGCCTGAATAATCCTGAGGTCTGGGTCCACACTGACCTTCATGCCGAACGTCTCTGTCTCCAGTTTGGACAGGTGGTTGGAGTTGTCCTCCAGCTCCCTCCTCAGGTGGGAGTTCTCCTTCCGGAGCACCTCCACCTGGTGGGCCAGCTGGTCGTAGGAAGCCACGGCGTTGGCCATCTTTGTCCGCTCTCAGCAGCGCCTCCTGCACGTGACAACAGATAAAGCAGGCTGAAAAAATAAAAGGAACCACGCCACCACGAACACAGAATTTAATAAAATATAACTTCCTGCTCCCAGGGGATTGTGGGAAATAAACGATAAGGTGTGTCAGCAGCAACAGATCTGACCGGACGTGTTCTCGGGTCATTTACAGTTTCTGTAAATAAAAACAAAACATCGACTCCGACACGTCCAGCTAATCAGGACGCTCTGATCAGCAGCCACTGCCCCCCCAGTCCCCCCTTGGTGCCGCCCTTGCCTTGCAGTTGTTTTCGAGCCTTTACTTGTTATCATCACTGCATTGTGTTTTTGTGTTGTTGGCCTGTGATTGTGTGAATGTTTATAAATCTTTCAGATTATTGAGATCCAACTAACAACTAATTTTTTTGCTCATTTCAGTTTCTGTTGTTGTTGCTAACTTTAGATTATTTTTGTAATATATTCAGCCTCTCCGTGCCTATTTCAGCGTATCCTGATCATTTCTGCTGTTTTTCTGCTTTCATCAAACGGAAGCTGTTCACTTTCATTAACGCTTTAGAGATGAAACCTTTTCAGATCTTTCAGCAACAATCGTTCACGCTGCGTTTGCACAGGAAGTGACATTTCCCTGGTTTGTGTTGTTTGTCTCGTGCACGTGTTCGTTTGTCCATCATGTCAGTGAATTATCTCACAAACCACCAGGTGGAAGCTGCAAACTGTCACAAAGTGATCAGGAGTGATTGGATCTGACCAGAACAGTCATTTCTCAGGTGATCTTAGTAAAACCTGGATCAATATTAGTCTGATCGTCATAAAAAATTGTTGCCAAGCTAAAGCTAACTTCTAAACGTCTCAGTGTTTGTGCTTCTTCAGTTTATTTGTTGCAACGTAGATAAAACCATAAAAGGTGGCGGGCGATATGCAACCCTTTCAGGGCAGATAAAGATAAGCATGTTTAATAATCTGAGCGTCGGCCTCCAGATTACTGGAGTCTGCTGGTCCTTTAAAATCAAACCCAATCTGCACGTTTCTGCAGAAAGATGATGTGATTGCTTCTATGCATGACATCGAACACAAAGAGGTCCCGTCAGCTGCTGCTGCTGCTGCTGCTGCTGCTGCTGCTGCTGCTGCTGCTGCTGCTGCTGCTGCTGCTGCTGCTGCTGCTGC